AGCTGCTTTAGCTGCTTTCATAATCTTTTAACTAGAGGAAATATAGGATGATTCTATTAACATCACAGAGATATACTTTTGATTATTGTTTGATTGCTTATGAGGCGGTAGAGCCTGCAGTCGTAGGGGGATTTAATGTTTGAAACTTTTTGTCTTAGATCCTTATATTTTTTTCTCTTTTGATGTATTTCTCCCATTATGTGATAGATAAAGTTGTGAAAGTAAAATGTAGTAAGAATGTTTTACTAATTAGTAGGTAACCATCTGTGCCTTGGCCTTGGAGTTCTGACTATCACCTAGTGGTCACTTCTGAAGAATGAATAACGGCTTGCTTTAAAGAAACTGATTATAGTAACTTACAGAATTATCTTTAAGAGCACCTGGTTGACCATGAAGTAAAAATTGATTGAACATCTGTGCATGCTGTCTTAGTTCTAAAGTAAAAGATAAAAAATCAAACGTTTGTGCAGAAGCTTGAGAAGCGTTTTGAGTAAATAAAAAGGACAGTTTTTTCCTGAGCTGTTGTGAGAACGCACCAAACGTCTGTGTCTGTGTCTTTCTTTATCGCCGACTCCACGCACCCTTCCCGAGCTCCGAACTCAGCTGGAGCTGGACTCCGGCATGAAACTTTTAAAAATACCTCTAAAATAGGATACTAGATTTTCTACGTTTGCCTACCTTAAATGTCAGAGAGTTAAACTTGCAACTTGACTAAGGGACTGTACTACAGTGATGATGTGGGGGAAAACAGTGGGAGGGGGATTTGGGGAAGGAGGAGAGAGAGGGAAGGTTGAATCACTGCACCTACAAAACTGTACTATGGAAAATAATTTTTAGAATTCATGAATTTATTTTAAAAAGTCACCTACTATAAATGCAGAATGAAACAATTTTAATGAAAAGTTTTATAAAATAATTTATATGGTGGTGCAACCATCACCACAATCCAATTCTGGAACATTTTTGTTATCAAAAAAAGAAAAAAGTTCCTTTGAGCCTCTTAGCAGTCAATTTACTTACTTACTACTAAGTTATTTCTTTAAGAGGCAGAGACAGACAGACAGATGGACAAAGAGACAGCACCCCCATTCACTGGTTTACCTCCCACATGCCTGTAACAGGGCTGGGCTTCGCTGGAGCTGGGAATTCAGCCCACCTCTGCTGTTGAGCCCTGCGCTGCTCTCAGGGTGTGCATTAACAGGAAGCTAGTGTCAGGGGTCAGAAGCCAGACTGGATCTCAGACCCACACACTCTGATATAAGACACAGTCATCTCGGCCAGAGCCTTACGTGCTATGCCAAGAGCCTACCCCTGAAGTCAATACGATCCTTTTAGTTTATACAGAATCAGTAGTAATGGCTTTTTTCATCTCTAACAATTTATTTCTTAAGATGGAAGCTTACATTACTGGTGCATTTCTTCTTTTCTGACATGGGTGCTTACAATTATAAATTTCCCTCTAAGCCTTACTTCAGCTTCATCCATCAATTGTGGTATGTCATGTTTCTGTTTACTTTTGGCTCCAAATGTTTTAATAACCTTGTGATTTCTTCCTTGTCCCATGAACTACCGAGTATATTTAATTTTCATATAAATAGTGCTTCCTTAGGGCTTTTATTTTCTGTTTTGAATTTCAAATTTAACCCTGTTTGGTCAGAGAACATCCTTTACCTTATTTCAGTTTTAAAATGTCTGGAGGCTTGTTGGGTGACTTGGCACACCATCTCTCGTACACTATTCCACGTGTCCGTGAGAAGAACGTGTATTCTGAAGTCAGTTGATGGAGTGTTACACAATGATCAGTTAGACGTCAAGTTGGCTGATAACGTGCAAGTCGTCTTGACTTGTCCTTCTATACTTTGCTTTGAAACCTAGTTCTATCATCCGTCCAGAGTACACTGTTAAAATCTCCAGCTGCTACTATTCAACAGGCTAGCCCTTTTTTCTTTCATTTTTGCTTCATAACAGGTGGAGATATTGTTGTTACATATGTATACATTTAGAATTGTTATATATTCATTATATAACAATTGATATAATAGGGCCCGGCGGCAGCGTGGCCTAGCAGCCAAAGTCCTCGCCTTGAACGCATCAGGATCCCACATGGGCGCCAGTTCTAATCCCAGCAGCCCTGCTTCCCATCCAGCTCCCTGCTTGTGGCCTGGGAACAGCCCAAAGCCTTGGGACCCTGTACCCACATGGGAGACCCGGAAAGAAGTTCCTGGATCCTGGCTTTGGATTGGTGCAGCACCGGCCGTTGTGCTCACTTAGGGAGTGAATCACTGGACAGAAGATCTTCTTCTCTGTCTCTCCTCCTCTCTGTATATCTGACTTTGCAATAAAAATAAATATTTTAGCTTTTAAAAAGGTTTACTTATTTTTTAAAAAAAATTGATACAGTAACCCTTTTATAATTATTATTAAATTTCCTGCTTTGCTCTAGTAAGATTTCCTATTATAAAGTCAGATTTGTCTCTTGCAGGTTTCATGATTTTTCCTTTGTTTTTCAATATTTTCTCTTTGTCCTTCAACAGCTTGATTATAATGTGTCAAGGTACAGACTTTGTTTGTGTATCCTCCTTAAGACTAACTGAGCTTTCTGGCTCTATAAATTAATTTTTCTTTTTCAAATGTGGTACATTTTCAGTCATTGTTTTTAAGTATCTCTTCCCTCCCACTCTCCTTTCTGGGTTTTGCACATATGCTGATGTGCTTGATGGTCCCCATGCTTTTCAATCATTGAGAAGTCTTATTCTTTAGATTCATTCCTTTCTCTTGCTCTGCCTTCCAATTAACTTACTCTTTCTTCTAACTTCTAAAATACACTGCTGAGTCCCTCTAAAGAATTTCCATTTCAGTTACTGTACTTTTCAAATCCAGAATTTCCATTAAACAGTTTTTTTTAAAGATTTATTTATTTTTATGCAAAGTCAGATATAAAGGGGAGGAGAGACAGAGAGGAAGATCTTCCATTCACTGGTTCACTCCCCAAGTGACCGCAACGGCTGGTGCTGCACCGACCCAAAGCCAGGAGCCAGGAACTTCTTTCCGCGTCTCCCATGTGGGTACAGGGTCCCAAAGTTTTAGGTGGTCCTCCACTGCCTTCCCAGGCCACAGGCAGGGAGCTGGATGGGAAGTGGAGCCGCCAGGATTAGAACTGGCACCCACATGAGGTCCTGGCACATTCAAGGTAAGGACTTTAGCAGGCCGGCCATGGCGCTGGGACCATTAAAAATTTTCTACCTTGAGATTCTGCAGTGTCTTTCCTTTACTTCCTTCAATATGGTTTATTTCTCATCTCTGAATATACCTACATAGTTTTCTGATAGATTTTTTTCTATTTTTTTTTCTGTACAAGGGTCATATTTTGTTTCTCTAGATGTCTCTAATTTTTGTTGAATTCTGGGTATTTTAGACATTAAGTAGTATTAACTCTAAATTCTGACTTTTCTCTAAGAGTAGAAGTTGTGACTTTGCTTACTTAGTCATTTTGCCAACTAAGTCTATGAAATCTGCCTCCTCTATAAGCTACAGTTGCTGATGTCTTCAACTAAAACTTTTTTGTCTTGTGTTTTAGAGGTCATTTCTACATCTACATAGCTTAGTATTCTGGAAGAGGCTAATCTGAGGCTTTCTACAAACACCTTGAGCCAGAAGAGCTTCTCTCTGCTTCTATTTCTGTGCGTGGGCTGAGCTGCACATTCTAACCTCAGGCTGTTTTCAGGTCTGCCCAGCTTGCACTTTCTGCTGGCTCTCTCTTATCTCTTTTGGGTGTGCACATAGGCTCCAGCTAGGATATGTGGGTGTCTTGGACTTGTTCCATGTCTGTACTCAGGCGGAGAGACTTAGTTCAATCTGGGACATACAGAGTCATGACACCCTGGATGGCTGCCTCACTTACCAGAACGAGGTATAAGTCCCCGAACACTGTGCCATTGCCTGCTCCAAAAACACTGTAAATTCCAGCTAGCAGAGCTACTGGTCTCTCCTATTCATTTACCAACCAACTGACCAATCTGACAACTTCAGAGCAAGTCCCTTCTGGAAACAGCAAGAAAGCAGCTGGTTTTCACAGCCTTCTTTTCTCTGATTTAACTATGACACGGACAGAGTGGGGGAGCAGGGACTAGAAGCTATGATAAGTAACACCAAAACACTGATTCTGTCCCTACCTAAAGTTTCATAGTTTTCTGGAACAAATACTCCTTAACTTGTTGTATACATTAATTTGTTGTATACATTTGGTCAACTTTAAGAGAGTGAAATAGGTGGTTTTGACAGTATTTTTCCAGCCTTAAAATGTTTTTTCTACTTACTTATTTGAAATGTGGATTGACAGAAAAAGGAGGAGGGGAATGAGGTAGAGAACAGAAGGAGGGAGCGAGAGGGAGAGAGACAGAGATTGAGATCTTCTACCTTGTGGTTCACTTCCCAAATGCCTACAACAGTAAGGTTGGGCCAGGCTGAAGTCACTAGCCCAGAACTCCAGCCAGGTCCCCCACATGGGTGGCAGTAACCCAAGTCCTTGCTATTTCAACTCTGGTCATTGAGAGACACAATGGCCATCCTTACAATAGTCCCCTGGTCACTGGGTAGTTTTCCTTCATCACTTTAGACAAGCTGAGTCCTCTTGCACGAGTTACTTCAACTCCCACAATCCCCAGAAGAAAAATAAGAACTGTCTTAACCATGTATGAGCCCAGTTTCTTAGAGGTGGTGAAGCTGAAAGATTTGTTTGTTTGGTTTTTTGCAAACCTTTTATATTCAAATAGGTGAACTGAGGCTCAGGGATGCAAAGGGGTCTACTCAAGGACACAGCATCCTTCTGGAAAGGCAGGTAAAAAATGACATGCTGATACCACAGAAGGGAGGCCTCAAAAATTGGCACCTAAAAGAACAGGCTTAGAGCCAGTGACCAGAGGATCCAGCTTGCCGTTTTCCAGGCTCTGAGACCACAGACAAGAGGGTAGGACAGTTTCCTACCCTCTGCCCTCTCTTACCTTAGCAAAGAATCTCCAGGATGCATACTGTGCAGTGGCCACAAGGCTTCTTAGCTTCGCTGTACTTAACATGAGGAAGAATCCTAAAACTCCACTGCAAGGGAAAAAATATTCTTGTGTTACTAAGGCTGGTCTTCCTTTAGCCAACAGCAGATCAGTTTATGCTCCTCTTTCCTAATCCATGTCCAAGGACTACGCAAGCTCTCTCTCCTCTGTGTTTTCTATTGATTTCTGGGTAAAAATGAAAGATTAAGAAGAAAACCTTAAGGAGCTAAGATGAGAGCATTTTGTTAGAGTTAGAAAAGAGATATGGAAACCTGGAAGATCTCTAGCTATAAATTACACACACACACACACACACACAATGGAAAAACGGGCCATCACAGGGATACAACATGCTTATTTTCTACCCTGTGGTGCCAGCATCCCACATGGGAGTCGGTTTGTGTCCTGGCTGCTCCACTTCCCTTCTAGCTCTCTGTTTATGACCTGGGAAAGCAGTAGGGGACAGCCCAAAGCCTTGGCACCTGGCACCCGTGTGGGAAACCTGGAAGAAGCTCCTGGCTCCAGCTTCAGATTGGCTCAGCTTTGATCACTGCGGTAACTTAGGGAAAGAACCAGTGATGGAGGACCCTCTCTATCTTTCCTTCTCTCCCTCAGTAACATCTGCCTTTCAAATAAAATAGATCTTTTTTTTCTTTAATGGAAAAAAAACATCTCTTGTTCATCGGGGCTTGATGCTGGCCAAGACTGACCCCCTAGTTTATTTCAAGCAAAACAAAATGGTGAGAAAACACCTGCTTTACAGAAACTGACCAAATGAGAAGATGGGGTGTGGACTGGCTGGCAGCTCAGGTGGAGCATCCGAATGGAAGGTTCCACTCCAGCAATACATGCAGCTGAGGCAAAAAGTCCCCCAGGCCTAGCTGCCTTCCACAGAAGCTCTGCTTTGGAAAGATCTCTCCAATCATGTGTGTAGTTAAACTGCAAGATCACTGCGTGGGAGCCTATGGATGGGGCAGAGGTGGGGGCTACCCAGAGGTCTGGACCACAAGACCACAGGCACAGCAGTGCATGGGGTTGAGGGGCCAGTGCTGGGACCATTTCTCAGTGTCACTGTGTGGTCAGGGCCAGAGCAAAAGGAGCTGCCAACTCCTTCCTGGCCTTTGACAGCAGGACAAGTATAGGTGAGGCAGAGAAGCACAGTGAGACAAGCTGACTTTATCATGTGCAGCTGCTGGCATGAATTCGACTTCATAGAAAACAGAAGAGCTACAACTACAGCTGTTCTCCAAGCCTGAGAGGCAAGCACAGGAACCCCTGGGGTCTCCAGGGCCACACTGTACTCTGTCTCTTGCTAAAGGCAGCAATGCATGGCCTGTCTCCAGCTACTCCACCGAGCCAATCATGGTGCCCTGGTCAGAGTGGGTATTGCGTCGCTGTCAGGCTGAATCAAATCAAACACACCAAAAGTCAACTGGGACAGACATATATACCTCCACATCATTAGATTAGTTGATGGCTGTGTTCTCAGAGCACGACCAGAGCCACGTATTATGTTTCCCCTGTGCCTTGTTTAGCTGGCTGGGCCCCAGTGGCCTGTAAAGTTCATTCAGACGTTGAGATGCAGCCAGGGCAGAGCAGATGGCTATGGATTAAGACATCAAGTCTCACACTGGGAAAACTGCAGCCTCAGCCGATCAGGCCACAGGATCTGCAGAGCTATGCTTAGCTAAGCTCACTGACCCATGGAACCCTGTCTCCTTCTTCTGCTTCCGGTTCTGTATTCTGACAACTGTCCACACTGCCTCTTATGGAAATTAAGGATGTTCTGAATAGAAAGGTTGCCCACCCCAACTCTATGAACAAAGAAATTGAGGCACAGCTGAAATCCAAATCCATAACCCCTCACCATGGAAATGTGTTTTTGTTTTGTTTTTTTTAAAGATCAATTTATTTTTACTGGAAAGGCAGATTTTTCAGAGAAAAAGGTCTTCTACCTGCTGGTTCACTGCCCAAATGACCACAATGGCTGGAGCTGACCCAATCCAAAGCCAGGAGCCAGCAGCTTCATCCAGGTCTCCCACATGGGTGCAGGGGCCCAAGGCTTTGTGCCATCCTGCACTGCTTTCCCAGGCCACAAGCAGAGAGCTGGATGGGAAGTGGTGCAGCCAAGAGATGAACTGGTGCCCACATAGGATGACAGTACTTGCAGAAAGAGGATTAGCCAACTGAGCCAATGCGTCGGCTCCAGCCAACATGTTCTTGACCAGCTTGTCAAGGTGTCATACTCAGGTGGATGCTCAGGCTACCTGTGGCTGAAGCAGCACAAGCTCCGAGCTCCTCTTGGTGCCTTACACCTTTTCCATTCAGAGGTGTAAGCATCACAGCAACACAGGTGCTTGCACCACATCTCCACCTCCTCTGCTCTCTCCCCTCCTCTCTGCCTCCAGCCAGAGCAGCGCATGACTCCACATCCACCGGTGCTGTCAGTGCCAGCTTCAGGCAAGCGGGGAGTTGCTCCCAGCTCAGGCTCAGCACGGTTAAGTCAGCAAGTCAAAATTTACCAGGAAGTGAAATTGACTCAAATATAGGTTTCTGAATCTTTATGGTAAACTCCCCTCGCCCCAGACTTGTCATGTTGGCTTATGAGAAAGCTGCAGGTAGGGAGGGAAGCAGCAGGGCAGCCCACAGGCTGAGGATGTGCCACTCGGCTCTAATCACCAAGCGACTGTGGACATCTCCTCTGCACCCAGCTCACCTCTATTGCCAACCACCACAGCCTTGGCAAACAAGTGCACAAGCACCCAGCTATGATGCACTAAGGCTCCCACCATGGAACCGAAGCAGCAGGACTCACGACCCTGACATGGACTGGAAAGATGAATTCTGTCAGCGTTTGCCTGAAGCTTTCCTTACAGTGATAGATCAATCAGACTAAAGCTGACTCAGCAATACCATTTCCTTTCCTTCACCCTAACATACCTGAAGGATGTGACATGCCCCGTCAGAGACAGCACTCAGCTGTATTTCAGCCTTCCAACTATCAGAATCCCTGCTTCACAAGGTGTCATGTTACGTGCATGGGAAAGCAGTCTCTCACATAGCAATTGCTTGTGGTTTGACATTTTACGTACAGTCAATACAAGCAGACAGGAGCAACAGGTACCACCGGGTGTGATGTTCAGAACTTTGCAGATCTTACTTGAGACATACCACAGGCTTGTGTTGGTATCACTTTTCTGTTTCATGGATGATAATGGTGTGGAAGATCTGGGATAGCTTGCCCAGAGAACCACACAACAAGCAGCCAGCTAGCCTGAGATCTAATATTGGTCTATCTTTCCCACTACAGAATATAAGCTTTCAGACTGGCCACAGAAGCCGTTCCACTGCTTAGCATAATGATGCCACCCCAGGTGGGGATCACGGCTGAAAGGCAGGACTGTGTGTGTAACACAGCCATATGACTGGGCCACATCCTGGTTGTTCCTGGTCTAGACACCTTGGTGTCTAGACATCTTGGCTTGCTGGTATCCACAATCTGTTTGTCAAAGTCTCAGCATTCTGTTTGGAGTTTGCCTCTAGGAGCAACTAGGGAGCCAAAGAAAAAGGTAAGAGAGGCGGAATTCTGCGCTCTAGTCAGTGCAGAACTGCGTTAGTTTCACCTGCTCAATATGTTCCACTCCTGTAAGATGTGCCAGGAAGACAAAAAGGGAAGCCCAGCCCTTGAGCAGGTCTGAAGGTCACTGCCAGGGCCGAGGCACTTCTGTGGGTTGGGAGTCCCTGCAGAGCCCCAGTCCTGCTCCATATGCCTGTGTGTGTGTTCTGGCACAGCCCCTGGGAGTAGACACCTGTGCCCACCATTCGCACCTGCCCCACATTCACATCTCAGGTGACGGTGACCATGAACTCCACAGGGAAGAAGACACACACAGCAGCGAGTTCAAGATTACCTGGCACAGCAGCTGCCATGGAACCGGTAGAATGAGAGGAACGGGAAATCCAGGACGCTGAAGAGATCACCTGAGGGGACAGGGTGGGAGAAACAATGGCATCCTGCTCACACCAGGTTTTTCAGTGTTAAGAATTGAGCTCTCGGGCACTGAATTCACTCTGGTATGCCTAGGGATTCTGTAACTGACACTGCCTTATACTAACAAAAGTGCAATAATAATGACCATTTAGTGTTAGAGTGCCTTATGCAGGATCTGTTGTTAACAGTTTCATGTATTCATCTTTTTCAGTCTGTGAGGTTCTGTTATCTGTATTAAAAACAAAATGTTTGGTCTTGGTGTGATAGCCCAGCAGCTAAAATCCTCACCTTGCACACGCCAGGAGCCCATATGGGTGCCGGTTCTAATCCTGGCAGCCCTACTTCCCATCCAGCTCCCTGCTTGTGGCCTGGGAGGCAATCGAGGACAGTTCAAAACTTTGGGACCCTGCACCCTCGTGGGAAATCTGGAAGAGGCTCCAGGTTCCTGGCTTTCGATTGGCTCAAGCTCCAGCCGTTGCGGCCACTTGGGGAGTGAATCACCAGACGGAAGATCTTCCTCTGTGTCTCTCCTCCTCTCTGTCCTCCTTTACTGTCCAATAAAAATAAATCTTTAGGGCCCGGCGCGGTGGCGCAAGTGGTTAAGTCCTCGCCTTGCACGCCCGGGATCCCATATGGGCGCCGGTTCTAATCTCGGCAGCCCTGCTTCCCTTCCAGCTCCCTGCCCGTGGCCCGGAAAAGCAGTCGAGGACGGCCCAAAGCTTTGGGGCCCTGCACCCGCGTGGGAGACCCGGAAGAGGCTCCTGGCTTCGGATCGGCATAGAATCGGCCCGTTGCGCTCACTTGGGGAGTGAATCATCGGATGAAGATCTTCCTCTCTGTCTCTCCTCTCTGTATATCCGCCTTTCCAATAAAAAAATAATAAAAATAAATCTTTAAAAAATAAATAAATCTTTAAAAAAAGAAAAAAATGTTTAGGAGTAGGCATTTAGCACATTACCTACCACTAACAATGTGGTTAAGTTACTACTAGGAATGCCTGCATCCCATACTGGAGTTCCTGGCCTTGAATTCCAGCTAACTCCTTCTGAGGTGTTCATGATGATACAAGTACTTCAATCCTAGCCACCCGTGTGCATGAACTGGATTGAGCTTCCATTTCTTAGCTTTGACGTGGCCTAGCCCAGCCCTAGCTGTTTTGGGCAAGTGGGGGAGTAAACCAGTGGATGGAAGATTCTCTCTCTTTTTTTTTCCCCTTTCAAATATGTAGGTAATTTAAAACATTTTTAAAATTTTGAATGAAACAGAAAGAGATACAGAGATGAAGAGAGAGAGAGAGTTCCCATCTGCTGACTCACTCTCCAAAAGCTCCCAAGGACTGAGGTGGGCTGGCCTCAGCCAGGATCCCCGCCAGGAGGAGCCCACTGAACTGTGATGCACATGACACATTTTATCACACCTGGGGAATGTGGCACCAGCGTGTGAGTGCTGCCAACCCAGACCCCAGGATCTCCTGTTTCAGCAGGCCACCCTTCCTATACAAGGGAGAATGTTGGGGGAGGGGAGGAGCTCTTCAAAGATGCTTCTCCTTTCTCCCTTTCATCTACAAAAAGCTTATGAATGCCTTCCCTGACATCCTTCTTCATTTCCATGTTTGATGGCTGCAGCCGCCATGCGGTGGCTGGACTAACTGTGCACACTCATTTTAACCTAAGGTCCAAAGGGCGCATTTTTTTCTTGTGAAGTCAGTCCATTCTTTTAGTTCCATTTGGTACAAGAGGAAATAATCACACATATTGGCCACTTCCCTCTCTGGAATTTTGAACTTGGTCACAAACAAGAAGTCAGATTTAAAAAAAAAAAAAAAGCAGAGGCTTCCAAAAAATGTTCTAAGGAAAGGAATTAAGCATTTCCACAGCAGACAGCTTAATCCTTCCAAAGCTGGAGCTTCTAACCTGGGAGGACACAGGCCTTTCAGACCCCTGTGCCTAGGTCCGTCTTGCAGTTCTGAATGGTGGGAGCGACCCGCAGTCCTTGTGTTCCAACAGCGCGTTAGGTGGACAGCCATCAACTATTTCAGCACAGAAGATACAATGGGCTTCCCCACTTCCTCAGAGACCTAAGTGACCTCAAATGAGTCACGCATCCACAGGGAGGGGGCATTCTCCATTCTGTTTCTCAAGAGGGTTGTTCTTTATTGTGACTCTTATTTTTGATTGGGATTTTTTTGGGGGAGGGGGTGGGTGGCACAGGGGTGGAGAGAGAGGACGTATGTACATAGATTTAACAAATGGAAAAAGAGTTTCTTGGGATTTGGTTCTCATGAGATTAAGACTTCTCTCATTCTCAGGCAGGCATCGGAAGAACAGTTTAACACATTGTTAAGGACGCTTGCCTTCCATATTGGACTGCCTCGATCCGAGTGGCTGGCTCTCTGCCATGCATATAGGGGACCCAGAATAAGTTCCTAGAATCTGGCTTTTGGTCTGACCCAGCCCTGGCTGCCAAGGGCATCTGAGAAGGGAACTAGTGGATGGGAGTTCTATCTCTCTTTCTGCCTTTTAAATAAACACATAAAATTTTATATAAAAAAGAGCTCTTGTCTTTCTGGCCCAAGGCCACTGCATAGCTCTGCTGTGCTCTGAGGATCACTACTGCTGGACAATAGTGCGCGTACAAACCACAGCATCAGGCTTGGACTTGGGGCATGAGGAGCCCGCGTGTATTCTGCACTGCCTTTCCCTGAACGAGCAACCACTAGGGACAAGTCATCCTGGGGACCCGAGGCTGCATGAGCAACCCAGGTCCCTTGCCCAGGGAGAAGATGGGATGTCCAGCAGCCTTTGCTTGTTCTTCGCCCCTTCCAAATTTCCTTTCCAGCGCAGAAGAAAAAACCACAGTGAGGTGAGAGTGATAATGAAGAAGGCAGAGAAGCCACCGGCTCACCCCAGGACCTCAACACCTTCGGTTGCTTTGTTGCAGCACCAACTGCATGATAGAAACATTTCGGGTATGGGCTAGACCCATGGAGCCCTGGCTACTTGTACAGCTCTGCTCAAGCTCTGGGAGGGTCTAAGGCACAGCAGATTGATCAGAGGTAGGTTAGGAGAGAGGAAAATAAAGAGAAAAATCACAGGCCTTAGGAGCTTGCCCGCTAGAAAACAAAGTACTCAGCCGCAAACCCCATCTCCTGAGAGAGGGCAGGAAGACAGACACAGCACATCCTGTCCTGCAGCCATTTCTGAAGTCATCACACATTTCTTCCACAACACTTAGCTGTTTTCACGGCTGTCGGCCCTTCTAGAACAATCCAATCCCTGGGAGCAGGGGCTCTTTCTTACTCATTCCTGCATCCATCCCCAATATAGACCACACACCCATGACAGGAGAGTATGTGGAAGTCGTCAACGTTTCTCACTTGCCCTGGAGAGAATGGACTTTGGAGCCAGACTCCTGGTGGGGAGCCCCCTGTTCCTCTGGTTCCTTGAGCTTCTCTTCTGTAGCGCCTCTTCCCTGTTCTTGAATATCAGAAATATGAAGATTCTTTTTCCCTACTGCTGCTTGATATAGTCCAAGGGGAAAGGTAGTGCCTTGGGAAAGCGTTACCAAGGGGAAAGCTAGCACATTGGGAAAGTGTTACCAAAGGGAAAGATAACACTCTCCTTAAGCCAGGCCCCATGGTTGTAGGAGCCTGTGTGTACAAACTGCAGCATCAGGCTCGGACTTGTGGAACAAGGTTAGAAAAGAAGGAGGAAGGTGGGTTCCGCCTGCCCAGAAGCAGGCCCAGTGGCAGCACCTGTACTGAGGCATGGGGACCTGCTCTCAGATTCCTGTCACCACTATACAGCATGTCCCAAAGATACTTCTAGAAAACAGCCCATCTGGGGCTAGCTGGTGGTACAGCAAGGTAGTCCTCTGTTGGCAGTGCCAACATCCCATATAGGCACTAATTCATGATCCAGCTGCTCAACTTTGCATCCAATTTTCTGCTTGTGGCCTGGAAGAACAGAGGAGGATGGCTCAAGTCCTTGGGCTCCTGCACCCATGTGGGGGACCTAGAAGAAGCTCTTGGCTTCAGTTAGGTCCAACTCTGGCTTTTGTTGCCACTTGGGGAGTGTACCAGCAAATGAAAGACCTCTGTGTTTCTCCTCTCACTGTAAAATCTGCCTTTCAAATGAAAGTAAATAAATCCAAAAAGAAAGAGAGAGAAAGGGAGGAAGGAAGGAAGAAAGAGCAAAAAGGGAGAAAGAAAGAACTCAGGGAGATGCTGATCTACAGAGCACGACTCATCCACTAGACTATTCTCAGAGCAGACCAGTGACAACACACATCAGTCAGGATGTGGAACAACTGGAGCTCTCCCACACTGCTGGGCAGGAGTGTACAACAGTACAAACACTTTGGGAAACCTGTACTTTCTTAGGGAGATAAACATGCATCCACTCTAAAGCCCAGTAATCTTACCTCTAAGAGACATGAACAGGTAAGTCCACAAAAAGCCTTGAATAAGAATACGCCAGGCAGATTTTTCATTACTGATGACACTTATAGACAGGGAGCATCCCAGATGAAAACAGCAGGTGGGTGCAAACACAAAATGTGGTTCATTCAACAGAACACCAGTCAGCAACAAGGAAGAGAAAATCTGTGATAAACACAATATGAATGGCTCTCTAAATACAAGAACCAGATACAAAATCTTACTTGCTGAAGACTCCACTTACATGAGGCTGCAGAATAGACAGGATTAATCTCTGGTAGCAGAGATGAAGTTGATAATGGCATTTACAGTAGGTGGGATGGAATGACCAACAGAGGGAGGAGCCAACTTTCTGTTGTGACAGAAACATTCCATATTTCAACAGGGATGTGGATTTCTTGCCAATATAAATAAATATCTACATTTAAGATAGATGAGTTTCATAAGCAGGAATTACATTTCAATTTTAAAATGTGTGTTCACATTAAAACCCAGGTAACAAAAGAAGGGGTTAAAAAAAAAGAAACCATGACTTGCTTTTAAATGTCAGAAAATATCCACTGACCTTCCAAAAAGCCTATATCTATTAATCTTCATTTTCACTGTGAATTCATTAGGCAAGAAGGGAATCAGAAAATGGCTTTTCTGGGGGGCAAGTGTTGTGTGTTGTGGGTAAAGCCTTTGCCGCTAATATCGTACAGATTCGAGTCCCAGCTGCTCCACTTCCAATCCTCTCTGTGAGTGTGCCCAGGGAAGCAGCAGAAGCAGGCCCCAGTGCTTGGGCCCCTGCATGCACATGGGAGACCCAGAAGAAGCTCCTGGCTCCAAACTGGCCCAATACCACCGATGCAGCCATTTGAGATATGGACCCGTGGATAGAAGATTTCTCTGCCTTTCCTTCTTCTGTAACTCTGCCTTGCAGATAAATAAATCTTTTTTAAGGACTTGTTTATTTATGTTTATTGGAAAGGCAAATATACACAGAGGGGGAGAAACAGGAAGATCTCCCATCCATTGATTCCCTCCCCAAATGGCCACCATGCCTGGAGCTAAGCCAATCTGAAGCCAGGAGCCAGGAAACCTCTTCCAGGTCTCCTGTGCAGGTGCATGGTCCCAAGGCTTTGGGCCATCCTCAACTGCTTTCCCAGGCCATAAGCAGGGAGCTGGATGGGAAGTGGGGCTGCTGGAATTAGAACTGGTGTCCATATGAGATCCTGGCACATGCAAGGCAAGGACTTCAGCTGCTAGACTACCATGCTGGGCCCCAGATAAGTAAACCTTAAACAAACAAAATCCAGAAAATGATGCTCAAGTTTTACAGTGGACAATCTAGATGTAAAGCGCAATGAGCAGAGAAGAACCAGTATGTCCATTCATGCGGCAAACAAACTGGCAGGAACAAAGCACACAGTGAGACCGGTCCTTAACAGTTCTGGAGGAGACAAATCTTTCCTGGTTGTTCCATTTTCTGACTCTTTATAAAATCAACTGTGTACTGCTATGAGCAAACATCTCAAAGTCCCATCAAAAGAGGGCAATCAACCCAGCAGGTATTCTACATGCTGCACTTGCACTGCCCTTACCAGCAAGCTCCTAGTTTAATAGCTACTGTTTTTGTTGTAACTCTAACAAACAGATGCAAGCACCTGACTATTCCTGAGTGCTTTCTGAAGCGATGGACCACTGCTTACACATGCACAGGCTGTATCTTGCATATCTGTTGGACCCTGTTTCTTTAGTCCATGACTCTGTGGAGGCCCTGAGCATTTAGACAGCTGAAAGACAAACAAAGCCTGCAGCGGGATAGAAGTTGTGATGCAGTGGATCAAGCCATAACCTGCAACACTGGTATGTCCTATGAGGCCCAGTTTGAGGTCCAGTTGATTCAACTCTAATCCAGCTCCTTGGTAATGTGCCTAGCACAGTAGAAGATGGCTCAAGTGCTTGGCTCCTTGCTACCCACACGGGAGACCCAGAGGAGGTTCTAAGCTGGCCCATCCCTGGCCATTGTTGCCATATGAGGAAGGAACAAGCAGGTGGAAGCACTGTTTCTCCGTCCCTCCCTCTCTCTGTATAACTCTTTCAAATGAATAAAGCTTCGGGGAACAGAGAGCACCTGCACAGGCTCTTCTTGCTACCAAAACTTTAAGTTCATGTCACTCCAGGAACAGGAGGTAAAAGAAAACAAATGCTTCCCCAACACCTCACCCACATTTTTTTTTTCTTTGAAGATTTATCTGTTTGTTTGTTTCTTTGGAAAAGATACAGGGAGAGAAACAAAGAGACAGAAAAATTTCATCTGCTGGGTCACTCCCCAACTGGCTTAAATAGCCAGACCAGGTCTAGCCTGAAGCCAGGAACCAGCAGCTTCTTCTGGGTCTCCCTCTGCTTCCTAACTCACCACAAGTGAGCCTCGGCAAGGCTCCACCATTGCCTTTGTAAAGTTGGTCGGCCTCAGGTATTTTGTTAAGATAGCAAAACACTGACTAACTCCAGACAGTGGAGAAGACGTCAGTAAAACCTCAGAGTTTTTCTTCTTCATTTTTTAAAAATTTTATGACACAGTTCCCTAGGCTCTGGGATTTCTCTTAAACCTCAGAAGTTTGAGATGTCACCAGGCTATGGAATTGAGCAAAAATATTTACAGGCTCCAGGGTGCATAAGTGGAGACTATGCATTAAGAAAAAAGTGGCTGGCGTCTGGTACAGCAAGATAAGCCACTGCTTCCAAAACAGCCCATAGTAAAGAGCTGGTTCAAGTCCTGGCTGTTCAGTCTCTGATTCAGTTCTCTGCCAAAGCACCTGAAAAGACAAAGAAAGATGGTCTGGGTGCTCCAGTCCCTGTCACCCAGGTGGGAGGCTAGGATGAAGTCTCTGACTCTGGCCTTTAGTCTGACCCAGCCCTGACTATTGCAGACATTTGAAGAATGAACCAGCAGATAACCAATCTGAATCTCTCTGTTTCTCTCTCTCCCTCCCTATTGCTCGACCTTCCAAATACATAAATAAATCTAAACCAAAAACAGTGATTGATTCATACATGCCAAACAGTAGCTGAGAAATTTATTCTGCTTTCTTATCCCCAAGTTTTCTTACACCTGCTCAATCTAAAGGAACCAGAAACACCTAGGGAAGGACGTAATGGTTTTGAGCACAAGATGAGAGTTGGAAGATGCCTTAGAAACAACCCAATCCACCTTCCTTATTTTGTACATGGACAAAACTGAAATTCTGAAGGCGTAGGCGATGCTTGGAGAATACCCAGTAGTCAGTAAACACTGGTCCTGTGTGTTTTGTTCTTAAAGGTCTTAAGGTCAATGGGCAAGGAGCAGGATCCCTGAAATGTGCCTTTTCAGGAATGCCACATACGGATATCACTGCTTCATTCCTGGCCAGCCTTCCACTATGGTCTGAGTATTACAAGTCCCCACCAAACCCTCGCTTCAAACTCCATCCCCACTATGCAGTATGAAGATGGTGGAAATGGAATCTTGTCCTATATATGGGATCTCTTGAAGGTGATTAGACAAAGGCCACTAGAGCCCCCCATGACTGAATCCTAGTAATTTCCTAAGAAGAGGGAAAGAGACCAGAACAGGCAAACAAGGCACATGTGTCCTCTGTTGCCATGAGACATCCTGAGCTACCTCTGGACTTGGCCCAAGAGAAAGCCATAATCACATGCAGTCACTCTACCCGGGATCAGACCCATCCTCCTTTCTTTATAATTTCTCCAGTCCATGGTACTGAGTTAGTAGCAACAGAAAAAGGATTAACACAATGTTATAGTCTTTCAAATCAAAAAGGAATGATGAGCCCTCACGAAGTCTTACCTGTTGTGTAATTCCTGAATCTGAAAAGCATCTACAGAATGGGTAAGGCAACAAGGGGAAATTAAGTGTTGTTTCTTAAACACAACACTAATTTATTTATTTCTGCTGATTTGAAAAGCAGAGAAATAGAGACAGATACAGAGAAAGCTCCCATCCACTGGTTTACTCCATCAATGCCACAGCAGCTGGACTGGGCCAGAGTGTCGCTGAAAGTCAAAAAGTCAACCCAGGACTCCCACAGGAGTGCCAGGGACTACAGTCCCTGCTGCTTAAGGGTGCACATTAGCAGGAATCTGGGATGAGGAGGAAAGCTGGAAGTAAAACCAGGCACTCTGATATGGGATCTGAGCATCCCAGTGTCTTAACTGGTGGGCCAAATGCCTGTTCCAACTGGTAAAAATTGGTTTAGTTCATCTGCAATGATAAAAGTCAGATGGTGACATATAATAATTTATAAAATGATTTCAGCTAGAAGCAGAGTAAATTTAAACTTAGCTACCACATCTTTCAGCACTACAAGGAACAATCCTGGATGCTGGGAGAAAGAATTTAAAAAGAGGCAGAACAAGCCCTTGTCTACCTGGCAGGGAACAGCCCTGTGGAGCTGAGACCATGGAGATGGGTGATTAAGATCTGTATCAAGTTTATAGGCCACTCCTACCTTCACAGTTTAGTTTCATATGCTGGCAAGCAACTCTGACAAACTGTCCCTTGGAGAGATAACCAGGGCCACAGCACTGGGCAGAATGGGGGCAATGCAAAACAAAACCTTACCTGTCGAGGGAGATGCAAAGGCCAGCAGCACCACACTGAAAAAGACACAGCAAAAGAGTTCAAAACGCTTCCCTGGGGCCAACAGAACAGCACAAACTGCTAGCCGCTCTACTTGGAAACAGCTGGAGGAACCGAAAACTGGCTACACTGACTGTTCCTGTTCTGCTAACATCCACCTCCTTACACTATCCATGTTTGCCAAGGGGATTGAATTCGTGCTCAGGATAGGCAGCATTCCCAGCCCACTTGAGGGTTGGCCAGGTCACTTTTCCCAGCCTTGGCTGACTAATCCTGCTCATTCCCACATAATTTTCATACACTATCTGTAAGTTAAATAAAACAAACACCAGGTCACAAGCAGGCTGTTTTGTGTTCTCAGGAACACTTCCGTCACAAAATTAATTGTGGAGAAGGCAGCTGAATTTCCATCAGGCTAACCCACAAATTGATCCATCCACCCAACACGTGGCTGACCACCACCTGGACTACTTTTCAACAGATGTCAAAGTGTGTGTGGAGGAAGTGGGATGGAAGAAGACTGCCCTGCTTTGGGGTTATCTCCCTGACCCACTTCTGCTCTTTCTTTGTCTCTCACTACCCTCAAACCAGTGTGGACAGAGGTGGGAGCGGAGGCTCGGTAGAAGAGGAAGGGAGAAGGGCCACACGTCCAGCATTCAGAAGCTGTAGGTTGCTGAGAAGGGTTTGCATATAGTCGTGGAAAAAGTATACATACTACAGAGGATTGCAATTTGACAATCATGACTCTGGCATGGGCTTAAAGTCTTTGCTTGCTATCTCGTCCTTCTTTGTAAAATGCAAACTTTATACATATTTCATTATTTTATCTCCCTGCATTCCCATTTTCATTACAACCTCAGAAGCAAGTTCTTGTTCCCTAGATCAGGATATGAGAGACATCCAAAAATATATCTCCCAGAGCCTGCTATCACACCTCACATCCCATAATCAGAATCACTCCAAACAATGGCCACAAAATAAAATACAAGGGGGTAGAAATCAGAAGAAATGGGGTCAACATTGTGGTATAGTAAGTAAAGCCACCACCTGTGATCCTGGCGTCCCATGTGGGCCCTGATTTAAGTTCCAGTTGCTCCACTTCTGCTGCAGCTCCCTACTAATGTGCCTGAGAAATCAGTGAAGACTAATCCAAGTCCTTGGGCCCCTGAACCCACATGGAAGATCCACATGACGTTACAGCCTGGCTCAGTCCTTCCAATGTAGACATCTGGGAGTGAACCAGCTCACTCTCCCTCTACCTCTCTGTAACTTTAGAAACATTCTTTTAAAAATTGGCATTGCAGAATATACTTACACAAACTGAGATGGCTGTGGCACCATGAAGAGCTGCATAGTCTCATGGGAGCACAGTCATACAGGTGGTCCCTTATTGATGAAAGTATTGTTATATAGCACATGAATGTGTCATTTTAAACCTCTCCTAAATCCTACACTATGGCCTCCTTGGGGACAAGAACCAGATTGCATTATTATCTGGATTCCAAATGCCCCAGCAGCGGTAGACAATACAACAGGGGCTTGAGATGTCTGCTGCATGCAGTTCATCACTTCTTGGCGTACCTGTAGTGGGACTATGTTTGTAGAAAAATACACCTTGAAGCATCCCATAGTTGTATGATTATAAGATTCAAGGCATATGCTACTGAGCAAAATATATAATGCAAGGGTATTTTTTATAGCTCATGGAAACAAAAAAATTTTTTAATTATTTTGTATAAAAAACATGCAAATCCATGCATCATTTTCTATAATGTGCACTTTTCCAGAAAATTTTTTTGAGATTCCTATTATGTGTGGATTTTGAGTTTTTTTGCACCAAAATAAACTTACTTCCTTTTAAACATTATTTTATTGTTAAAAGAAAGAAAAAAAAATAAGAGAGAAACAAAGAGACAGGGAATATTCAGAAACTCATTCCGGGTATCTATCTGGGTGATAGAAACCCAAGCACCTAAGCCATCACCTGTTGCCGACCAGGATGCTTCTCAGTAATAAGCTGGACTACAGGGTGCCAACATGCATGCCTATTTCTCTTGCCCCACCCACCATCTCATCTGAAAAATGTGCAGGTGCAGCACATATGGGCAGGTAAAATTCTATGTAACAGATGGAAGAGACTGGAGTTTGCTGCAATTAAAGCAGATGGCTCTGTAAATACATCCCCTGACAGTCACTCCTTATAGGTTACCTAATTCCTCCAAATGTAGACAAAGCCAAACTTATGTTTAATAATTCCACTTATTCCCAACACAATAGACGACCTTCTCCTTTCCTCTATTTTTTTTTATTATTTCTTTTATTTGAAAAGCAAAGCTGCAGAGAGAAACACAGAAGGAGATATCTTCCATACATTGGTTCATTCCCCAGTGACCGCCAATGGCTGGAGCTGGGCCAGTCCAAACCAGGAACCAGGAGTTTGTTCCGGGTCTCCCTACATGGGCACAGGGGCCCAAGCATTTGGCCCCTCCTCTGCTGCCTCCTAGGTCATTAGCAGGGTGCTGAATCAGAAGCAGAGCCGCTGGGATCCAAACAGGCACCCCTTTGGGATGTTGGCACCACAGGCAAAGGCCTAGCATGCTATATTATGGTGCCAGTCCCTTTCCTTTCCTCTGAAACTTCACCTCTTCCCCTACCTTGTGCCCTACACTTCCATCTACAGTAGAAGCAACTAAAGGCAGGGTCAAGGACAGCACTATGGTGCAGCGGATTGGGCCGCTGGAGGGGCCACCTGCACCCTGTGTCAGAGTGTTGGTTAGAGTCCTGACTGCTCTGCTTTTCACCCAGCTCCCCACTGCTACATCTGGGAGGCAGCTTATTAAGGTCCAAGTCCTTGAGCTTCTGCCATCCAGAGCAGAGACCTAGATGAAGGATGAGGTGCTTGGCTCCCCGCTTTAACCTGGCCCGTACCCAGCTATCGCAACTATTTGGAGAGTGAACCAGCAAAGAATCTCTCTCTCTCCCTCTCTCCCTTTGCCTTTCGAAGAAGTAAATATATGCTCAAAAGAATAGACATGTGTCTAAGCTACATAATTCAATTATTTCCTGTCACAAACAAAACAAAAACCCTGAGAGCTTCAGCCAATTCTTTGCCCAGGCAGGCAGTGCTCCAGGCTGGCACACACAGGGACAACCCAGAAATCTGTGTGGTTTGCAGGAATCTGGACGCCAACTGCCTCTGTATTCAGTTCCAATGAGAGCTCAGACGGTGGCCCTCACTGTGATGCAAGCATTTCATCTCCTGTGCTGGAAAAAAGGCTCTGGCAACAGGGCGCTGGCACTGGGGAGATGGTCCGAGCCTCGCTGGGAGGCTGGAGCAGCAGGCTCCCGGAGAGAGGGCAGAACTCCCAGAGGGACACAAGGGAGCATCTCCCCTTATTCCTCAAGCGGCTCAGTGTCAGGAAAAACATTTAAACACCAAGAGAATTCTACATTTCCAGAGGAGTCTCGTGAAAGTCAATTCGTGGGAATGGGCTGAGTGGATCTCATGACACTTTTCAGCTGAGTACAGGAGCTGCCCACAGCCACGCCCGGGTGAATCTGGCTTTCCAAAAGGCATTTTAAGCAATATGAAGATACTTAGAAGCATCATTTGCATCAAGAGGGTACAGCTCACATGGAACCCTTACTCTGAGCATAATTATCTTTCCCTGGAGGTTGGCAAAACCCAATTTCATCCAAACATATTTGTACCTGAGACCTCCTTATGGGATGACCAGGATGACCAGCGCTCCCAGCACCAAGCCTCACTTTGTTGCTCAATCAGGTCACTGGGGTACACAGGTGGAAACCACCAACATCCAGCGAGTCCCAACCTCTGCTCAACTTGGGCCAATGCTACTAATAGAAGTCTTTTCACCTTATTTAAAAGATATAAATAAACGGGGCTAATGTGGTGACACAGTATGCTACCCCTCCACCTACAGCGTCAGCAACCCATGTAAATGCCAGTTTGAGTCCCAGCCACTCCACTTCCAATACAGCTTCCTGCCAATGGTCTGAAAAAGCAGCAGAGGATGACCCAAGTGTTGGGGTTCCGGCTCCCAATGAGAGGTCAGGAAGAAGCTCCTAGCTCCCAGTTTCAGACCAGCCCATCTCTGACCATTATGGCCATTTGGGGAGTAAACCAGCAGATGGAAGATCTCTATCTGTAACTCTTGACTTTCAAGTAAAATAATTAAGTGGTTTTTTAAAAGTTATAAATAAAGCTTCAAAGCTGGTCCTTTAAAAAAATACCCTCAAAATGTCCTTGAAATCTAGAATTCTTGTGGATTCCTGCAACTTTATGTCAGGACATGGCAGCACGGGACAGCTTCTGGCTCCCTGCACCCACTTCTTTTTAGACTGCAGGCTCCCTCAACACCCTAAGAACTCCACATCCACATGTGTGAACACCCACCCCTTATAACCTCTCTTTGGACTTCTGTTGGGCCTAGGGATGACTTGGGGCCCAGACCCATAGAGACGTAGAATCCAGCTCAGGGCCACTTGGGGAAGGGCACCGGGGGTCTAGTCTAGAAGCATGGATGTAGGCTCCAGGAGGATCTATCCCATGGCCTGCAGATGCTACACCTGCGGAGGGAGAAGTGTGACCCTCGGAAATTGAGCCCCCTCTTGTCTGGTCCAAGGGCGAGACTACCATTTAGTTTCCTCAATGTTGGTCATTTCACAAATCATTTCACTTGATTATGAGAGGTATATTCGCATAGAGTTCCCCAATCAAACCACTATTGGAACATAAAAATTTATCAGCTCTAGAAGGATATGAGTTGCTTTTTGAAATTTACATTTTTATTAAATAGCTGAATATGTTAGAATTAAATTAAAATTTTACCTGAAGATATAGTTTAAGTACTGTTGGTCAATGTCACTAAGGAATAAGGGAGGGGGGCAAAAAAAGAGAAAACATAAGAACAGAGAAGTATTTTACATTCATAAAATTGTTACTATTCTGTAAATAAGTTCTATCTCCATATTACAACTCTTGTGAATTATCAATAAATCAGAAGAAGCGTACTTTATACTTCAAACCTGGACTGGGTTCATTATTAAAACAGGTAACTAATTTACCATCAGGCCAACATTTTCACCTGTTCCCATATGTAGATTTTCCACTTGCAAAGGAGTGTCTACTGTCTCAGGTCACTAGACAGGCTTCTTGGCTGCCATATATAATAAACAAAACTACAGGGCACTCAAATAATTTTGGATTTCAGACCAAGAGTAACATTTTAGTGCAAGGAACTACTACATGGGGAATAGTTGAATTTTAAAAAAAAATTCCCTGGTTTATCTAAAATTCAAATTGAACTGGGCATCCTGTATTTTATCTGGCAGCCCTCTTAGCTTCTAGCTACAAACCCAATTTATCCAAAGCACAAAAGCGGCTCTAGGAAGGGTAGACCCCTCTGCTCCTTCCCTTCCAGTCTCCTTTCCTGGACCCTCAGGCGGGCCCCCACACCCCAGCCAGCTGGCCACTCCAGGGCAGCTGACCTCACCACTGTAGCTGCTCAGAGACCAGAATCCTCATCTTCCTGTATTTAGTCACTAAGGCTGTTCCATGGATCACCCACAGCGAAGGCCTCATTTGACCCCAGAGTTGGGAACCGGGAAGACTTCTGGTTCTCCCCCTGAGACTGGTGAACAAGGCACCAGGGGAATTAAAACAATGAGTTGCACCTCTGGACTAAACGTGGTCAGGTGGCGTCCAAGCAGCTGCCACCAGCATGTCACTCAGTGCCATCATGTAACCCACCTGCATGAAGCAGGGGGTCAAGCCCACCATGCTGGCCCCAGGAGTTGGTGGACACAGCTGGGAGGGGCCCAGGCAGTCTTGGGGGCTAAGTGTGCAGGCCTGTGGCATCTTTGGCTGGAGGATTCTCCACACACACACACACACACACACACACACACACACACACACACACACCACTTTTTACTGAATACCAACTTACCAGCCAGGACAGGCTTACCTTATGGCGCTGGGTTTCCGGGATGTTCGCACTATTTCATAGGCCCCTGCAAAGGAAGTGACATGGTCACCATGTGTGCAAAGGCCCAGGACATCCCACATTTCCAGGGAAGAACAAGGTCTGCGTGGAGAGGGACCTTGGCTCCCTTTTCCCCTGGAGAGTCACACACAGCTGCCAAGAGAGCAGCCACATCTGGGCTGGTTTCCAGGATGGGAAGGCGGGAAGCCCCTGGCAAAAGGTGCAATAGCCCTTCAGACCACCAGCGCCAAGCTGGGCAGAGAAGGCTTCATGGTCAACACAGGCTTGGCTGGCAGGAAGGAGCCTTTCCACGCCATGACGCACGTCAGAGAAGAAAGCCTGGATTTCCATACACTGCCTCGTGCGTCCACAGGGAGGGCCACTGTTTTCGCTCCCAACATGGGATCTGAAGTACAATCACCTGGCTCTTCCAAAACTCAGTTGTGTGTGTTGCGTGTCCTCTGCTACTGAGGGGCTTTTTGCTCTCAATTTCTGGCTATTTTGTGCTCCCTTCCCCCACCTGCCGCTGCACCCACCCACCAATCAATTTTTAGAGGAACTCAATTGAACCAGCATTCTAACAGAAAACCAGAGCAAGCAAAACGTGAACCAGGGTCAGTTCATGTTTGTCACAAAAAAAGGGAAACTAGACCGGAAATGGAAACGTTTGTGAAAACTCAAGAAACAAAGAAACAAACAAAAATCCCCAAAACACTCATCAAATTTTAACCTTGACACCTTGGATTTCATTTCCCTATTGGTCCAGGGATCACTGAAAAGGTGAATATACAATAAGAACAAAGTAATAAACCCAAATCAGTGAAGTAAACATTCTCTAAGCACTTACCAACACAGAGGAAGTGAATGGCAGCCCAAAAATACCCATCAGGATCGAACTGTAAGACAAGATTGAACAGAGAAAACAACAGCTGTTGGTACAGACACCAGGCCTGGCAGGGCAATGAGAACTCTGAGTCATGAATGCACAGTGCCATGCAAGGGCTCCCCACCTGGCCGGCCCTCCTCTCACTCAGGTGCCTGCCACCTTCCCAAAGAGACTGTCTTCATTCCCCATAGAGCAGGAGCTTGCACTCAGTTCCCAACTCAGGATGCCCAAAGACCTCTCTGCAAAGGCCCTCCAGCTGCACTACAGACCCCGGCCCCAGAGAGCAGGGGTGACCTGTCTTTCCCAAGCATGAACGCACCCCCCTGCAGCTCAGCCCAGGGATCCCCGGCCCTCCATTTCCCTTTCTGGTTATTCTCCACAAACCTCACCAGCATCTGGCAGATGCCACAGTTCCTTTATTCTCCATCTCCATGCACCCTCACCTCCACAGAGAGAGGTAGGCACATCAGAGGTGTTCAGGAAAGCTTAACCCCATGGCGTTGCTCCCAGCCTGTCATCTCTTGCTAACTAACTCCTCTACCTTTTAGGGGTGGTGAGCAGAGTCTTGATCCAGCATCAGAAAAATCTGGGTTGAATTCTAAAATGCCCACTCACTGGTTAGCTGGTCACCTTTGAGACCTCAATATTTTCGAGCCATGAAATGGAGATCATAACAATCCCACTTACAGAAGTGTCTTGAGATCTTTGACAAAACACAGCGCAGAGCCTAGCCTACAGCAGGCCGCCATGCCAGGGGTCCCTGGTCCTAGCCTGGCCCAGCCCTGTCTATGCTGGGCATTTGGGAAGTGAAAGTGAACTAGCAGCTGGGAGAGATCTCCAACCCCACCCTTGCTACAAAATAAACAAATAAAAGAATTAAGGATGAAAGCACAACTTCAGCAGAGGATAACATAGTGAAAATCTCTCCAAAGATGAGGCCATTGGAAGTACAGGAAACATAAGCTTTGCCTCCATGCCCAAGGCTGCCATGGCTTCGGCGCCAGTTTTCAAATCAGCAGGCAGGCACACATCAAGGGATGACAGTGCCCTGCAAGTGCACAGAGAGCGCAGGGTTCCCCAGGCCATACCACAACCTTGGGCAGAAAGTGAAGCTGTTGGCCAGCCAAAAGGCACCAACCTGAGAGCTTTGTCTGGGTGGAGACCAAGTCTTCCTGATTCTAAGACAAAGAGCTAGGTAATTCTGCATGCACCTGCCAAGCTTCTGAGGGCAAAAGACACTTGGAAGGCAAAAGGAGTTCACCTGGCCTTACCTGGGCATCGCTGAAGGGAAGGCACCCGGCGGCAGCCAGGAGGAAGAAGGCACTGTGGAGGAGACAAAATCACAGCTTCACTTCCCAACACTGAAGGCCTGTCCAGAGTGTACGGAGAGGCTGAAGCACCTCCACTGGAGCTGGCAAGAAGCAAAGATCCTGCGAGACCAGCCTAGCTCCCTTGGTTGGGAATCCTGCTCCCTACGCACACTGCTGACAGCTAGCCATGGTCCAGGGTCAGGGGTCATCCAGAAACCATGCTGGCTCACTTGAGGGCAACAGTGAACCTGTGAGACGTCTAGTAAATGGAGACTGTTTGCCACTCTCAATCCCCAAAAATGCCCGAGTGGAAAGTTGGTCATCAGACTAGGTCACTAGTTACAAAAATGACAATGTCATGGAATGTGGACTAGACCCTTCGTATACCACCTGAAGCCCTCCATCTAGCTTCGTCTCTCCAGCAATGGCACAGAACCTGTTATGTGCCTCTTGCTACAATGCACTCCGAAGGACACAACGCCCCTCACGTGCTCTTCCTGCCAACATACAGAATCTGAATTGAACTGTGACAGAATGCTGAGACATGCATGCATTTAACAACCGCCCATGAAACAATGGATACACCCCCTCCATCCTCTCTACAAAGAATCTACACATATCTCCCTTATACCTCACACCATTTCTAGGTACCCAACAGAAAGCAACTGCCATGTATAGTTATTATAGTGTATTTTTGATGGGATAAGAAGAATAAAAATCTTGGGGCTTTTTTCCCCCAAGTGTTTTTGATCCTCAGTTGGTTGAATCTGTCGATACAGGCTGTGGGAGGCTGGCTGGATATTCTTACACACATTGTGCACTATCCATGTACATGTGACTTTGTGTTCTGTCTGTGTGTATCTGTACATATACACATGGGGAAAGGACTAGAAAGCAAATGTGGAAATGTTATCACTGGGAAGATCTAGCTGACAGTACATGGCTAGAGATTCTTAACATTTTTCTGTTGGTCTAAATTTTTTTCCCAGATAGAAATATATAATTAGAACAATCTCTTCCACATATTGAAATTTCTACAGAGGAAATGCTCTGGTGCCTGATCCTTGCTTTAAAGCAATGCTGGGAGCTGTCCTTACATTCTCCCATACAGTTTTTATCTATTTAGAAATTTACACACACACACACACACACACACACACACACACACACACACAAATACATCTTTAAAAAACTCTTGCAAAAACACTGCCACGTCACACTGCCAATCACAGATTAATTTTCAGAAAGTGACCTTCGTTCATCAGAAAATCGACTTGCATCTGGTTTAGTCATCACGGCTTTCTGGTTCTTCTGTTGCATGTCATACTCCAAAAGACTTGCCTCTAACTCTCCTCAATCATTTTCTCCTTGTAAAAGAAGGCACTGGAAAACCCAAACTATCACTTAGTACTTCTACTCCCCTCTCTCTCCTTTTTCCTCTCTCTCTCTTTCTCTCTTTCTCTCTCTCCATTTTACAAATGCAAGAAAATGTATGAGAGTACTTCAGGTTTGTGGAGGCCAATAGTCTGATGTACTGAGTCAAGCTGCCACCTGTGCCTATGAGGGCACCAATTCAATTGTCTAGAAAATACAGCCAAGAATGGTCCAAGGGCTTGGATCTTTGCCACCCATGTGGGAGTCCCAGAAGAAGCTGCAGCTTCTTGGCCTGCCTACCAAAGTCTGGCCTACCCCTGGCAATTCTTGCCACGTGGGAAGTGAACCAGTGGACAGAAAATCTCTATCGCCCTCTCACTCTCTCGCTCTCACTCTCATTCTCCCTCTGTAACTCTGGCTCCCAAACAAATAAATCTTTAAAAGATAAAAAAAAAAATTAGAAAAAATTTAGACAAATGGAACTACATGTTTACTTCAGTGCAAAAAAGGTTGAGGTCCCTGCACAGTTTTTCAAAAGGCATATTTTCCATGAACTTTGTGAAAACCCTGCAATGCAGACACAGGCCAGAGGGAAGAGGGCCAGCCTGGGGAAACCCTGGGAGCCAGGCCCAGTCTGGGACAGTGCAAACAGCAAGCCACAGCCTGAGCTCAGGGAGTTCCTCCAGCCCACCTTCCCCCTACTGCCCTGCTCGTTGTTGAGGCACACACAAACATCCTGGAGGAGAACCCGAGATCAAGAGAAGCATGTGAGGAACAGAGACGGTCTGGGGTCTTCCCGGCACTGCACAGGAAGAGGCAAGTCCCAGGGGCAGGAGAGCGGGGATGCTAGTGGGCTTAGTGTGTACTACAAGGTCTGGGAACATTCAGGGCATTCCACCACCCACAGAGACTAAGCACTAGAGAGTCTGTCAGACACATGGCCCCTTAGGGATGCAGGAAACTAGGAGATCCAGATGTGAAAGAGTCATCTCGTTTCCTACCATACTCAGCTTGGGCAATATCAGACTGCTTCAGGCATTAGTGAACTAAAATGCCCTCATGAACACTTGCTAATCACTTTTCTAAAAGGATAAGGCCTGCAGGGTGGAGTAGTGGGTAAAGCTACCACCTGCAACACCAGCATCCCATATGGGCGCTGGTTTGTGTCCTGCATGCTCCACTCCCCATCCAGTCCCTGCTAATGTGCCTAGGAAAGCAGTGGAAGGTAGCTCAATTGCTTAGACCTCTGCCACTCATCTGGGAGACTCAGAAAAAGCTCCTGGCTCTTGACATCAACATGATGGTTGTGGCCATCTGGGTCATGCATCAACAGATGGAAAGGTCTCTCTGTCTCTTCCTCTCTCACTGTAACTCTTTCAAATAAGTAAACATTTTTTTTTGTTCATTCTTTCTTTCTTTCAAGTTGCAGCCTGTAATAAAGACAGAATAAAGGCGTAAGGGTAAGATAGAGGGGAGAACTGGCTGAAAGCCCAGAAATCTCCTAAGCAAGCAAAAATCCTCAATCCACGTTCCACAGCTTGTGTGTTGGTTTTCTGTCTACAGCTCTTGCAGAGGAGGGAGGCAGCCCGGGAACAAGACGAGCAGGGCAGAGGCAGGAGGGCTCTGCAGGAGAGTCCAGCCGAAGAACCTGGGGCTCGGAGGGCCAAGACATCTGCCCCACCGTCACTGTGCTGCCGTCCAGGGCTATGGGTCAGATCCCAGAGGGCACAAGTTCGTGTTCCTCCCACTGGGAAAGCTCACAGACCCAGCGAACCACAAATATTACTTCACACATTTGTGGTCATTTCCGTGTTTGTTCTTTTCACTCTCCATCAGTACCTCACAATTATTAACAAAGGTTTGGGCATCAACAGCTGAACTCATACATGGCTTGATTTTGTTTTCCGCTTAGGAATAAAGAAACGCAGCCAAAAATAAGAGTGATAGTAAATGATAAAGAAAACACAAAAGAGAAATGTTAAGTGCTTACAATGCAAACATGGATTCCTCTTCAGCAACCAGAGGAGAAATCTTCAACAAATGGTTTAACAAAATCCAATTAAAGCTCACGTTTTATAGGATGTTTAAAAAAAAAAAAACTTACCTGCAAAGCTTAGCAAGAGATGTTTTCTGTGTGTAAAGAGAGAGACACAATTAGTCTTCAAAAACTTTTTTTCCCCCTTAAAAGAAAAAAAACCATTTAGCTTAGAGGCCAATGAATGACGAGTATGTTTACTGGGGGCTTAACAGCTTACGGCACTTTCAGATTTACTGAAGCGTTTTCAGCTTGTACCAAGTGAAGGCTGACTCGGTCCCAACGCTGAGTCACTCCAGCAAAGCGCTCTCACCATTAGAGCTACATTTACTTGTGAAAAATAAACACCATTGGGCCAAGTCTTCAAAACCCTTACACACTAGGCACAGGGGAGGGAGAAGCAAACAGACGCAGCCTACACCCGGAAAGGAACTAAGTTCTTGTTCAGTTTACGTCCTAGATATGTCTCTAAATAAGCCATGCATTCCTTCAGCTCCACATCTAAGCAATCCTAGAATTTACCTCACGTGATGTGAAAAGCAAACAGCAGCACCGGTATTGTAGCACGTGGATTGGGCTGCTACCTAATGGCAATGCAAACATCCCATATCAGAACATGACTTTGAGTCGTGGCTGCTCTGCTTTCAATCCAGCTCCTTCCTGATGCAGCTGGGAAGACAGCCAAACATGCCCCAAGTGCTTGGGACACTGCTGTCCATGTTGGGGACTCAGACGGCCTTCCAAGCTCCTGGCATCAGCCTGTCCCAGCCCCAACCACTGTGGTTACTTTGGGGGAGTGAATCAGAGGATGGAAGATCTCTGAGAGGAGAAAAATGGAGAGAACGGAAGAATTTGAAGTTGACATCTAAATGGCCTGGGATGAGACAGTAATTTGGACTGTAACCTTCTCAAGTCCATTCCGTCAGTCAGTTTCAGGGACTCAGTGCCTCTACATGAAGGAAGATCTGATAAAGGAAGTAACACCGATTTTTCAGTTTTTACAGAAGAAATGGACAGGTAGAGTGGCTGAATACTTTTGAACATTTCACAAGGATTATTTTGCTAGTCAGGGACAAAGTGCTAGATTCAGTACACACAAGTTTAGATAAAGTATGAGTATAAACACGCTGCTGAGAACCAAAGAGCTGCCAAGAGAAGCAAGTATGGTTTGCAATGAAGGTGATCTTCAGTTTTCCTCTGTTATTGAACAAGCAGATGTTCACTGTTTCCATAAACAAGATCTCTCTGTGAAGCACTCTGCTTTGGAGAAGCATGCTGCTTCTTCAATCTTTCATCTTTTCTGGCACTCGGCAGAGCACAGGGCACCACAGCGACTGTGCTACCACCTGGCAAGCTGTTGGCCTTAGTGCAGGGAGGAGGAGAAGCCAGAGATGACTGTTGTCCCAAGAGTGAGCCAGAACTACAGGCTAGTTAACAGGCATGGGTTATGTGTCACAGACGAGGGCATTCAGGCACTGAGCTATCTGGGACGTTGCTCCAGGTCGCAGGGCAACAAGTCCTCACATCAGTCCTGCAGTGACCTCCATCTGCCCTGGAGTCCCTTAAGCCCTTGACCTTCATTCGTTGTTCCCTCAACCTGTCTGGAGTGCCGGTTCTCCTCACCCTAGCCAGCCTGTGTGACTCAGCAGAGATCCAGCCTCTGGGGACATCTTCCCTGCTCCTTCCAAGCACACTCCCTGCTAGTCAGTCCTGCCTGACCTATGCCACTGGTCCAGCTACTTGATGTTCTACAGGAATCAGTCCAACACCAGCTCCTCCATGCAACTCTGCTTCTGCAGAATAATCATGGAGTCTTGGCATTTACCATGAATAGCCTAAGGGCTCACAAACAGCTGAATTCATGAACAGTAGTATTCTGATACTCACTGTGATCAATAGATCCACAAAGCAATGGGACTAATTCCATTAGTTTCATATTACCTTATAGACAAACTATGTGTGTGTGTGCGCACACACACACGCGCGTGTTTGTACACAAAGAACAAGCTGTAGATGAAAATGAGCTGCAGGCCATAGACAGTTTATTTCCAAAGCCTGGGAATGAAGTCTTGAGGAGGCCAGCTTTCCAAAACAGATTCCAGGAGCAGCCATTTGGCGCATGGTTAAGCCTGGAATGCCCAAATCTCATATCTGAGGACCTGAGCCGGAGCCCCAGCTCAGCTCCTGGCTGCAGCTTCCTAATGACGCACACTTCGGAAGGCAGCAGAGGTTAGTGCATGTGATTTGGTCCCTGCCACCCACAGGGAGACCCGCCTGGGGTGCCTGGTGCCAGCTTCCCCAGACCCTACCCTGGCTGGTGCAGGCATCTGAGGTGTCTGTGCCTCTCATGTAAACAAAACAAATAGATAAATAATCAATGCTAGTAAAACATGGACCTAAGGGACAAAACAGCCCTTGTGCACCATCTGACGGCCTGTGAGGTGGTGAGCATTGCACCCCTTAGGAGGAGCAGTCAGTTCTACAAGGATCTCAGCTGGATGATAGGAAGGCCAAGGGCATGGAGACCACATCAAAGCAACTGTTGTGACAGAGCAGAAGCTGACACTGAAACACCAGAAATCATTTTACAAGTAGGGACTAACCAGTGTACTATGCTTCACCACTGTGGAACGATGACACAAATAAAGGACTCTGACAGAGTGTTCAATGAAAACAGGGCGCATTCTGCCACTTGTGTCAATACATTCCTCTCTATGCCCAGAAGCCAACATCTGGAAGGACACAGCAGTTTCCTCAGGGAGAGAAGAACGCATGATGGGCAGAGTGCTCATCTCCGTGTTTTTACATCTTCTTCCATCTTACTACAGTCATGAAGATATGAGTCTTTTTATGTTATTTATGTTTTTAAAAGACTTATTTGGTTGCTTGAAAGGCAGTTATACAGAGGGGTAAAGAGATGGAGACTGTTCATCTGCTGATTCACTCCACAGTTGGGACTCAGCCATGCTTAGAACTCCATTCAGGTCTCCCACTTTTTTTAAGATTTATTTATTTTTATGGGAAAGTAAGATGTACAGAGAGGAGGAGAGACACAGAGGAAGATCTTCCATCTGCTGATTCACTCCCCAAGTGGCCACAATGGCTGGAGCTGAGCCAGTCTGAAGCCAGGAGCCAGGAGTTTCTCCTGGGTCTCCCCAGTGGGTGCAGGGTCCCAAGGCTTTGGCCCGTCCTCCACTGCTTTCCCAGGCTACAAGCAGGGAGCTGGATGGGAAACGGGGCCACTGGGATTAGAACTGTCGCACATACAGGATCCAGGAATGTACAAAGCAAGGACTTTAACCACTAGACTACTGCGCCAGGCCCAGTAGAATAAATAAATAAATCTTTACAATAAATAAATACTATGCACCTTCTAGAAAGAAAGAGAAAGAGAGAGAAGAGGGAAGGAAGGAAGGAAGGAAGGAAGGAAGGAAGGAAGGAAGGAAGGAAGGAAGGAAGGAAAGAGGAAGGAAGGGAGAGAGGAGAGAGGGAGGAAGCCTTGGGACCCTGCACCCGCGTGGGAGACTTGGAAGGGGTTCCTGGTTCCCAGCTTGGGATCAGTGTAGCACCGGCCATTGTGGTCACTTGGGGAGTGAGTCATTGGATGAAAGATCTTCCTGTCTCTCTTCCTCTTTGTGTATCTGCCTTTCCAATAAAATAAATAAATCTTTAAAAAAAAAAAAAAAAACGAAAAGGAAATTGGAGTGGGTGCATGGGCAAAGAGCTTGTTGGTTTTCCCATATGAGAGTAGGTTTGATAGACATGCCCTATCCAGCCTGGGTGACATGAGCCAGACCTTCTAGAGCCATTTCCATCCTGGTACCACTGAGAACACTGAGCAAGTCTCTGGGCCCAACAGTCGGGAAGGCTCAATACACAGGCCAGAGGAGAGGGGGCCACATGATGGAACCACCCATGAGGGGCAGGTGGCAGGAGGAGTATGGCTGTGGCTTTAGTCAACTAGGAAACCTCCTTCTGCTGCCCACCTAGACAATGTGTGGTCTGAAGTGGCTAGCTATCCTCTCCGTAGTTTAAAAGTTCCCAAAGCGGAGAAGGAAGACAACTGCCAGGAAACAAGGAGCTCCCAGAAAAGGGTGCCAATTACAACTCCCATCAACGACACTGACCATCACAGCTAATACACAGAGCACCTGAGGCTGCCTTGCATGTGTCTGTGGTGCTGGGACCGGCTGGTTGGGCCTGCTCCCCTCTCCAAGAGCCCAGCAAACTCTTCTGTGCCTCCCCAAGGTCTAGGTCAGGTGGGTCAGCGCTGGCCTGGAGCTTAGTCCCACCCAGGTCCACAACCATTCCCACAAAACCTGGGTCATAACCCTGTCCCCGGAAATCAACAACCATTGTCAGGCAGTCTTGAGCCAGAAACTGGTGGCAGGAAAAGGTAGACTGTACAGCTGGGCCAGCAAAATAAAAGTACATCTTTGGAAACGCACCACAGGGGAAGGGAAGACAGCAGTTTGAATGATCATTTACCTCTTTCCAGAAACACTTCTGGCACCCACAGATGATCACTTCAGCTACATTGTGCAAAGTGAGAAACACAGGAATGGCCTGAAAGAAAACAGAAGCAGGCGATAAAAACATTTCCTCCCATCTCGCAATCCCATGATTCTTTGATTTGCACTTAAAAATAAGAATGGGTGGGAACGTCTGGTGCTCACAGATTTCTGCAGGGATCCATACCCTGTTAACTCAGTGACTCTTGGAGGATGAATGGAGAGCTTCCCATCCAACGGGTTTTCCATACACAACATTTATAAAGAACTACCTGTGTGCCAGGCACTGCCCTCGATGCTGGACACACCTCTATGAACAGGAGCGACATGTCATAAGGAGCCTTTGTCCATCAAGTGAGAGCTCAGATGGAGTTCATGGAAAACCAGCACAGGACTGACAGGCCTTCCTGGAGTGTGTGAAAGCCAATGTCCAAATGAGAAGATGCAAGTGGGTGGCGTCTCAGGCAGAGCAGAGCATGGAGGCCCAGAGGAGAGAACCAACCTGGTGCCTTTGTAGGAAGTTGAAAGCAAGCAGAGACAGAATGGGGCAGAAAAAAGTAGGCAGGGTGGTGGAGAGCAAACTGTGGGCCATATCAGGGAATTAGAACAGGCCTGAGGGTTATCACTGACAAGAATTAATCTGCATATTCAAAAGACTTAGGGGGAAGGGAGGATGGCGTGTTTGGCACTGGAGTGAAGCCACCATTTTGTATACCCACATCTCACATCAAAAAGCATGGGTTCTAGTCCTATCTCCTCTGCGTTTGAGCCAGCTTCCTGGTAATCACACACATCCTGGAAGGCAGCAGGTGGCTCAAGGACTTGGGTCTCTGGGATCCCCCTCGAGAATCTGGATAGAGTATCCAGCTTCAGACTTCAGCCTGGCTCAGCCCTGACTACTGCAGTCAGCTAGATAGTGAACCAGCAAATGGAAAGTACACAATAACAACACAATGGCCACATGAAATTAACTTAAGGAGCAATAAAATGGTAGCCTGAACTTAGTGGCAACAGTGAATATGGAGAAATAGCAAGGAAATATATAGGAAATTGAATTTACTCAAATATTTGAATAACTGGGATCAATTTTGTCCCTAAAATATACAAGAAGAAAAAATATATATAATGTTCTGAGGGTTATTAGGACACAGGAGCCAGTCACTTGATTGCTCAGGCTCTCTGCTGAGAATTTTATTTACTTCCAGAGGGACAGAGTGTGTGCCCATCCTCTGGTTCACTCTCAGATGACTACAATGGCAGAACTGGGCAGCCTTGGATCCTACCCAGGTCTCCCTTGAGGGGAGGTTGGGACTGAAGCACTGTAACCATCACTGCTGCCTCCCATGAATCCGCTGGAACTAGCAGGGAGCTACAGAAGGGAAATCAGAGGTGGGATTCACACTCAGGCACCCCAATGTGGGACGCAGGTGTCTGGGCACTCTAACTGCAGAACAAGCACTCACTCCCACTTGATTTTAAGCCTTCTGTAATGTTACAGCTCTGTCCTGTTTTAGTAGGCAGTTCTTTTTCACTGTTTTGAGTACTTGCCTTACATTTTTCATGCCTTTTTAAAAAAACATGTCTGCTTTTACTTTATCTTTCATGAAATGTACAACTCATTTTTTTTCCTTTTGAAAATTGGACTTTGTTTTTTTGATTTTTTTCCACTTTTGTGCTTCTTTTACTTATCTTAAACAGGTTATCTTCTATGTATTTTAGGGTTGTTAAGAATTTTTTTTAACTAGAAAGGCCAATGTTTGGTCAACTTGGGTTCTGGCCTTCTAGTTTTTGGATTGGGAAAATAACAAAGATCACCTTGTACAAGTTAATTGTGTGGCACATGAACATGCATATGAAAGGCTGGCCTGGAGACCTGATTTACTGCGGCTTTTGCTTCTCAGGCTTTAAGATCCATGCGGGAGACCTGAAGAAGCTGCTGGCTCCAGATTGGCCCAGCTCTAAAAGTTGCAACCATATAGGAAGAGAACCAGCAGATGAAGGGTGTCTTTCTCTCTCCCTGTCTGTCCTTTTCTCTGTAAATCAGCCTTTCCAATTGGTTCTCTCCAGAATCCACTGGCTGCTATGGTCCAACTTATAGTCTCTGTCTGTCCTGATATTCAACGCTTGGTTGGAGTAGTTGATCAATTTGTTCTGTCCTCTGCCCTCTGCCATTTTACCAGGTATTATCTGGAGGCTCCAATGTACTGCCACATCCTCCATGTACATTTGTATATGCTGTCCACTGCTCCATCTGAGCCACTGAGGAGGCACAGCTCTGACACATGCACTCCATGGTCAGACCATGGAAACTGCAATTCTCTCCATGGTTGGGGTTCTGAGTCCAGTGGTTTAGTTGGTAGGAAATTGCCAAAGAAACCTCATCTGGTCATCCCAGACCTGGTTCTTGTGTGTGTTTGCCAATTCAGGGTCTGGCACAGTTTGTCACCTAAATCAGCCTACACACACACTGGTTGTTGCAATTGCTGGGTCAGTTCTCTCTCCAACCCCGTGTTTTACACAACACAATGGATGTTGGAGCCCAGCCCAATCCTGCCCACCACATGCTCGGCCTTCATGCAAACCAATCAGAGCTACAGTCTAATTGGAGTGATCCACAATAACCACCACCAGGACCGCCCCCTACCCTGGTTCCTGTGCTTGCCAGTATATACAGATGACTGGTTCTGTCTGTCCCATATCCCATTTGTCTCTCGTACATGTTACTGGGCATTGAGGCCCAGTTCATCCCAACCAGCCCCACTATCCAGTCCACACTGGTGCCAGCAGGTGCCACCATCTGTCTAACCATGTCTGCACCTTACAGAATATGCTCCCTGTACCAGCATCTGCCAGCTGATGCTGCAGCAAAGCCCAATCAACCCACAACCACTCTGGTTTATACATGTACCAGGAGGTACAGTCAGCCAAGCCTGGCCTTTCCCTGATCCAGCTTACAAGTAGGCCAGCAGATGTTGTGGCCCTACCTGGCCTGGTCTGCCCCCATCCCAGCTCTCATGCTCACCAGTGGGAGTAGTGGCACAATAAGGAGGTCCCCGCAACCCCCTCATTGGGTCCATCCCCACCACCCTCAGAGTTTCACATGTGCTGGCTGGGTGCTACAGCTCAGTCTGGCACAGCCTGCCCCACCTTGGCATTTGCCAGTGGGTGCAATAGCCTGGTCATGCCTGGCCCACCCCCAATTCCAGCTCACACTGGTGGGGGCTACAACCTAGCCCAGCCCTGCCAGCCCCCCAAGTCCCAACCTTAATGTGGACTGGCTGGTATTGCATCCAGACCTGGCCCGACCCACAGTACATTCTGGCACTCAGATTCTCCAGCAGGTGATGTGAACTGACCCAGCCTGGCCTGTCCCCAACCTGTGTTAAATGTATGACAGTGGGTACTATATTTTGGCCTGGTCTGGGCTGCTCCCTGTATCGGTTCTTGCATTCATCTTTAGGGACTGTGTCCTGACAGAAGAGTTTCCCAAACTCCTTCATCGGGATCTCTCCCAATGCCAGATCATGTGCACACCAGTGGGTCCATGGGCCAACGCTACTTAGTCCACCTCCTGTCCCACAGGAACAGTGTCCTTTCCTGATCGGTACTCACCCATTCCGGTTCTTGTTGTTGGGTGCTACAGCCCAGCCAAGCCTGGTCCACACCCAGACACAGCTCACGCACGGCTCAGCAGGAGCAGAGATCTAGCCTAGTCTGTCCTACGTTCAACCAGTGGGTGCTGGAGTTTAGCCCACTCCTGCACATCCCAGACCCAACTAACACTCGTGCTGAGGTACCTTGCAACCGTATCCAGACCAGACTACAGCCCCCACCCTGGCCCTCGCACTCACAAATGGGACTCACACCCCTGCTAGGGTGTCCCCTTAGCTCCCCAGTCAACCCATTCCCATCTACAGATCTCACGAATGCCAGTGGTTGCTCTGGTACAGCCCGACATAGCCCCTCATCTGTCTTAGCCTTTGCCTTGAGATGCTGCCGCCTGGCCTGATACGGCCAGGCTGCAAAACCTCCTGAGAATTTCATGGCATTGTAAATTTCTATTTTTCTTCCTGTTGTTGATTTTGTTTATGGCTTTTCATTTAACGGGATGTACGGTAACTGTGTAACAGAGACTATCATATCCAAATGTGAGGATACAATGCAGTATGCATCTCTACTTCCAGATCAAAGATGGACTCCCAATGAAACTGTTTACTACATCTTGACAATAGGATGCTGGACTTTCTACCATTGTCCATGCCCACAATGATGGACATATGACTGTGTATGAAGAACTATACTACAGTAATGATACAGAGGAAATCAGTGGGGGGTGAGGGGCGTTTTCGGGAGGGAGGAAGGGAAAACCCAGGGCTTATGGAACTGTATCATAAAATGATAATAATAATAAAGTTTTTTAAAAAGAGTTAACTTTAAAGTACACCAATCCTAATTCCAAATACTGTATTAAGCACAATGCTAATTATTTTGGGGGGATTCTCTTATTTAAACTCCTGCTAACAACTCTGCTGGCAGGTACCAGGTACCTGTCCTCTGCTTTTTTTTTCAAGATTGTTTATTTTTATTGGGAAGTCAGATTTACAGAGAAGAGAGGCAGAGACAAAGATCTTCTGTCCACTGGTTCACTCCCCAAACGGCTGCAACAGCCAGAACCGAGCCAATCCAAAGCCAAGAGCCAGGAGCTTCTTCCAGCTCTCCCACATGGCTGCAGGGTCCCAAGGCTTTGGGACATCCTCTACTGCTTTCCCAGGCCACAAGCAGGGAGCTGGATGGGAAGTGAAGCAGTTGGAATACAAACAGACGCCCATACAGGATACCGGCACAAGCAGGCGAGGACTTTAGACACTAGGCGATTGTGCCGGGCCCCATCCTCTGCTTTTAGGGCCAAGCCAGAAACCCAGCACAGGCCTGCCTCGCTGAAAGCCACCTTCTCCTAGCTTTGCTGTCAGGATGCTCAAGTTAAACAAGGTCCCCAGGGAAAACTTCCCAGACTTGTAACTGCATGATACTCAATATGACTAGTGTATCCCAGAG